AGGAAGGGCCACGTAGAATTTATCCTTTCCGTCGTGATGGCCTGTCATTGGGGCGTTAATGAACTTCTCTCTGTCCAGTTTAACCCCATTTCGGTCTAAGGGTAGCTGCTTCCGTACGAAAGAGGAAATATTCTTGATGGCTTCACTTCTGACTGCAAAAATGACCCAGTATCGCACTGTTGCCGCTTGCAGTGATCGCTCCAAAAATAAGCGTTCTACTATAGCTCTATTGAATTATGTTTACCTTGAGTAAGGGTTCTCGCCGTGGCCGGTGACGTTCACATTATCTCAAGTGACTCAGCCCATTTTTTTCTAGTCCGTTGGACTTTAAGGTGAACATTCCAAGCGGGCTGAGTAAGCAGAAAGCGTTTTATACATGAAGTCGTTTTACTATGTCTCGACCCTGAGTGAACTCCCCACAGTCACGGTCGGCTAACCAGGGAGAATAAGAACGTTATTTTGGAGTTTATTTTCTTAGCGCGTTCCCTTTGGGTGTGTTAGCAATGTTTCCTTAAACCAGGCTGCTTAGAAATCAATGAGGCGGTGCCGAATTCCTCTGCTGATAAGACATCTCGTATCGTTTAAACGTCAAGACTTGGATACTTATGTGGGAAGAGAGGAGAGATTGGTGTCAGAGGTAAGTGCCTAAATGCACAGAAGGCCTTAGTAAGATTTTTTTAGTGAAACGCTATCTTTAAGGACATTTTTACGTAGGCGGGAGCAGTTTCGGGGTTTGCAAAGTACGACGAAAGAGGTTCCACCTTACGCTATTTTCCATTAGAACATGTTTATCTTCCTACTGATGTGTTCAGCTTTCCTTGGTGTTCCCCCCCCCTTCGGCCTCATCCTTGCCTATTTTTTTGTGTAGAGGTCGTATTCAGGCGCTGCATCCCTAAATAGTCATCTTTTTGTTTGACCATTTACTCACTAGGACGACCCTGCACACCTACGAACTCGTAAATTGTCGTTGGGCGGACGAGGTCACTCAGCAGCTGGATAATCTGCAGGGTCAAAGCCTCTTGATAAACAAGAGTTCCGGCAGTCGTCCTCATTCCTCCGCCATGAACTCGGATATGTAAGTTATGCCATTCAGTCTTTTGGAGGTGGGCCAAACGATTGGTCAATTGCAGTGTCGATTTCTGACTTTTTCGCAACATGTCTCCGTTCTTGATTGTTTCGTTGGCGACAATTACTTCATGTGACCTTACTCATGTAGTATGCTTCAATTAACAAAAAAACACCAAATACTCTGAAACCGATCCGAACGCATCCCCTCCCCAAGGGCTAAAGTAATAATGAACGACTTCCAGGTAAATGAACTCCTTGGGATTTGACTTGGCTTTTGCGCCGTCTTAACTGAGTCCGAGGATTTTAAGGCAGTAGTACTGAAGTCATGGGGTTGGCAGCGAAAAAAACTTGCTCAGCCTCCTCAAT